CCTCTCACACACACCACCAATACAAGAACTCACCGTCCCCAAAGTCCACCTCCGGTCAATTCATACAACCCCCGCCCCCTTCGCCCATCGCCGTTGGAAAGCCTAACCCATTCGACCCGCCGTTCCACTTTGTCTCCGTTGGCTTCGCTCCCGCAAGGGGCGATGGAGTTTGCGGCTGGGTGCAAGCCGCGCCTGGTCGAGTCTGGAACATACGTAGGGGAGCNGAGTTTGCGGCTAGGTGCAAGCCGCGCCTGGTCGAGTCTGGAACACACGTGGGGGCGCGTTGTTTCGGGGGCGGGGCTGGAGATAAATGAAGGGCTCCGGGATGGCAGGGATGGCCCTGGGAACATGAGCAGAGAAGCTGGTCTAGCCTATTTGGGCAAAACTCAGGGGAGCAGTCTAGTTTGTTGGCCATAAGGTGGATAAGGGCTTGTTGGACCTCAAGTCAGGGGAGAAGTCTAGCTTTAGGGTTTAGGGTTAGTTTGAAGTGAAGTCAGGGGAGATCTGTTTTGTCTGTCCCACCTCTCACACACACCACCAATACAAGAACTCACCGTCCCCAAAGTCCAGCTCCGGTCAATTCATACAACCCCCGCCCCCTTCGCCCCTCGCCGTCGGCAAGCCTGTCCCCTTCGACCCGCCGTTCCACTTTGTCTTCGTTGGCTTCGCTCCCGCAAGGGACGATGGAGTTTGCGGCTGGGTGCAAGCCGCGCCTGGTCGAGTCTGGAACACACGTAGGGGCGCGTTGTTACGGGGGCGGGGCTGGAGATAAAGAAGGGCTCCGAGATGGCAGGGATGGCCCTGGAAACATGAGCAGAGAAGCTGGTCTAGCCTATTTGGGCGAAAGTCAGTGGAGCAGTCCAGTGTGTTGGCCAAGAGGTGGTTAAGGTCTTGTTGGACCTCAAGTCGTTTGTTGGCCAAAAGGTGGTTGAGGGCTTGTTGCACCTCAAGTCAGGGGAGAAGTCTAACTTTAGAGTTTAGGTTTTGTTGGAACTGAAGTCAGGGGAGATCTGTTTCGTCTGTCCCTCCCCTCCACACACCACCAACACAAGAACTCACCATCCAAAAAGTCCAGCTCCGGTCAATTCATACAACCCCCGCCCCCTTCGCCGTCGCCGTCGGCAAGATTGTCCCCTTCGACGCACCGGTCCACTTGTCTCCCGTGGGGACGATGAGGTCGGCGGCTGGAGGCGCGCCTGGTCGAGTCTGGTACACACGTAGGGGCGCGTTGTTACGGGGGCGGGGCTGGAGACAAAGAAGGGCTCCGGGATGGCGAGGATGGCCCTGGGAACATGAGACTGAAGTGTGGGAGAGTTCTAGTTCGAACACAGAAGCTGGAGTCAGGGCAATGGTCTAGTTTCTTGGGCAAAAGTCACGGCGGGAGTATGGTTTTCCTGGCAAAAAACGGGTTTATCTGGTAGCTCATGTCAAAAAAGGAGAACACTATTTTCTAGGGCAAATAAGGATCGATTTTGGAGTTCCGAAAGTCAGGGGACATTAGTTACCTGGGCAAAATATGCACATGAGATTTAAATTAAATCTCAATCAACAACACTGAATTTTTTTGCCACCTCGGGGGATAGGCATGCGCTGCGCCTCAAGCAGCTCTGTCAGCCGCCCGGTGTCTTCCAACCCGTGCTGGCACGGAAATCTGCCGATTTGCGGCACGATAGGCCAGAGAGATTTGCCGATTGGGACAGCACAACAACAGGTGTGTGTGTGTGTGTGTGTGTGACAGAAAGAGAGCAAGGAGAGTGAAAGACCCAATGGTGCAAAGTTGCACACAGCCCAAAAAAACAGTCACCGCCGCCAGCTCGATCCGCCCGGAAGAAAAACAGAGAGGGTGCACATGAAGCGCATCCATCATCACCACTAAATAAACTAAACACCAAACGGCAAAGCAAACACAATCCAGCGAATTCACCAAACCAACCCGGGGAATGGGTTTGCTGGTGATCAGCCCTGGTCACAGAAGCCAGCCAAAAACAAAAACTTTAACTGAACTGAAGTCCAAGCGTGTTTCACGTAATGAGTAAGAATTTGAATAACGAAACACAACAGCAAAGACAACCTCTCACCAAAACCCCTCTTGCTCCGCCCTCGCTGAACGTGACGCTGGCGCCGCCGTCTAGTGCCGAGCTGCCGCCGCGCTACCTGCAGTCGGTGCTCGGGCCCATCGACGAACCCACCGGCGTCCGAAGTTGCCGTGTGAGATATGGATGTGCAAAAAGCAGGTTGATAAGAGGAAGCTCGACGGCTGACCAACTCGACCGGGCAGCGTAGACGGCCTCGACCTCTTTGCAGTCAAGGCTGGCCTTCGGGGAACGTTCATGTGCAACAACATTTTCTCGTCGTGATGTGCACATCCCGAGGCATGGTAGTGATCTGGGTGGGGGGTGTCATCTTTCGTGACTCCTACAGGTTTTGGGTCAGTACACGTGCATGTGCGTGAAACTACAAACCTCGGCGTGAAAGTAACCTTAGAAACGGCGTTTGCTCATGACTAGGTATGGTCTGTCCGTTTAATTCGTTCTCCCCCTCACCAATGCAAACAAGCAAGCGTGGCCTCGTGGTTTGGCACGCGAGTGGAGGGTACTTCTGTGGGGCGGTCTCCTTCGTCTGCGATACACATTCATGTGCATTTCTCGGGGTGGATGTAGCGCACACGAGCGGTGGTTCCGCGACGCTAGACACACGTTACACTCCGAAGTACCTTATACCTTAAATTCGCGGACAACCAAGCTTGGGTTGCTAGCCGTGCTCATCTCATCACTGTTGGCTACTGGTGGTTGAAAGAACATCCCCGACAAGGGAAATTCGGGGGTCAACAAGGTGTAGTGGAGCTCCGACTCCAATAGCCTCTGGAATGTGTAGATGATCATACCTAGTTGATGAACTTGGTACATGTGTTCAGAGGAACTTCGGACCAGAGAAATGAGAGCGTCCTTTTCTATCCCTACCGTTCATGAGGCAACATGTGTGGTGAACTCTCTTTGACACCTGACAACCTACTGCTGTAGGCCAGCTCCCACGTGACACTTCCCTCGGTTTTGAAGCTGTCTCTCTTTATCTTGTCACGAAACCGGGGGACAACACGAACGAGAGGAAGCAAGGGCGTTCTCATACTCATGAGTTCATGTGTGACGTCGCCAGAGTGGACGAAAGCACACACTTCCACGAACGCTATGATTCTTCGTTATCGTCCACCGCTAAACGTGCATCCGCCAAACGAGTTGTCCTGCCGATCTCCGTAAACCAGATAGTGTCGAAGTAGAGATGTTCACAGCTTGGGTAACGACGCAGCTCGCACGTGGCCGATCGTCGCTTGATTCCCGACAGTGTCCACGCACGGTCATGCCCCTCACCTTTGTAGCCGTTCACGTAGACTGTTCGATGTATGGCATGCGCTGTAGGGGCCTGTGCATTCACCAGCGCTCGCTCCCGCAAGTTGAGCCTCCAAAACCAAACTACGCGATTGGAGATGGCGGATCCGGCGCCTGAGATCGACTTGCTTGAGGAGAGCAGGGACATGGCCTCGGCTCCGCCCACTCCACTATACATGTATTAAAAACCGAGCAATGGCTCGGAAGGTCGTTCGACGTAGACGAGGCGGACAGGCACAGACAGGAACCGTGTGCCACCGTAACTTCCTCGTCGCATCTCCGTTCATGGTTTGCTACCATACCTGTGTAAAAAAGACGCAAAAGCCACGGGGAAGATGTGACCGGCTGGATGATGAATCAGAGCCTTGAAACGCAAGAGAATCAAATGGATTGTCACACACACACAAGCACCTGATCATGGAGGAAGAGGCCACGCCTCCGCGCCTCCTAGCCCTCCGCCTCAGGACCGCCATCGTCCCTGAGATATCTGCAGACTTTTTCGCATCCTTGCCGTCCTTTTCAGTCGGTCATTGCCAAGAATAAGCAGTCACCGCATCCGCATGTAGTATCACGCGACGAAGAGCCTCTAGCGCATACAGTTGTGCTCGCGTCGCCGGCTGATTCGCACCAGTGATCTTGTTGCGAATATAATGATTCAGGCGACCAATTGGTGTCGATCTGAACGCGAGGAGATATTGTGGCCCAGCCCAATAGACGATACTCGCACCAGCTTCGATGAGAAGATGTGCACAGCGGGGTGAAGAGGGCTTGCAAAAAGTCACATTGCGTCTCAATGGGGTTTGGATGAACGGTTGTGGCTCCCCACTCAGCCACTTTCCGTTACATCCAGCTCCACTTTAGTACTCCGAATCTCCCTAGCGTCGCTGACCCAGAATTTTCATGACCGCAGAATTCCCTGAGTCATTGGCCAGAGCAAGCGTTTCTCCCGTGTCGACGACGCCGGCGTCAAGCAAAAGAGCCACTATGCCGACGTGACCAAATTCAGCGGCATTCGCTAAAGCACCCACACCACCACTGGGACCACCACAACCCTCGATTCCGAAGAGCTGTACCAGCTCGTGGACAATATCCAAGTTACCATGCTCCGCCGCATCCTCCAACGGGAGCACCGACTTCCCATTTCGCGACTCGGGGTCTATCTTTGGCAAAAGAGCATTGGCGCCCCCCCCCCCGTGTAGAATCTGGATAGACACAAGCTGTTGGGCAGTGACGACCATGAGTGGTGTAGCTCCATCCCTTGCCTGGGCATCAATCTTTGCCCCACGGCGGAGGAAATGTTGCATGAGCGCCTTGCGCCCACGAGCAGACGCGTGGTGAAGCGGTGTTAAATCTTTCGCGTCGGTGGCGTTCACGTCTGCTCCCTCGTTCAGGAACATCTGGGCGACCTTCAAGCGTCCAGACATCCCTTTCCCTTGAACCTCGGCCTTGGTGCAAGCAAGGTGCAAAAGTGTTTGCCCTTCGGGATCCCTGTAGTCCATTCGGCAACCTCTCATTATTAGCAACTGGCTACGTCTGGGTACTGAGACGCGTTCACAAGAGCCGTGTGTCCGAAAACGTTGACGCGAAAAGGATCCGCTCCCATCTTCAAGAGTTCGCGGGCCATTTTCCCGTCACCTTGACTGGCCACAATCATGAGAGCCGTAAACCCGATATTGCCATCCTGATAATTAATGTCGACACCGTTATGCACTTGTTCGCGAACTTCCATCAAGGAGCCCGCTTTTGCAGCACCTAGTAGTTGTGCGCCCGACATTTGCACCTGTGATTGGTGGAGAAAAGGAGACGTCAGCCACGAGGACCAGAGCCCGTGCGTGACAGCCGAGTACTAGATACACAGAAATCACTGCGGCAAACTAGACAAGAGGGAAATAGGATCCGGCAGGTCGCCAGATTGAAAGCAGCATCCATGATTCGTCTGTGGAGCAGAAAAAGAGAGGCGGCCGGCCCTCGCGTCAGGGCTACACAAGCACACACCTTGCCCCCGCTGACCAGTGGCCGTGTCTTCGCTCCCCTGCTTGTCTCGAGGGGGGCGTCCGGTTCTAGATCCACGTGTGACGGATGGGGAGATGGCGTGCGAACGGGTACAAACCAGCAGAGGCGTTATGTCGGGTCTTTTCAGGACTGTGGAACCCACGGTGGCCACGCAACAGACAGGCAGCCTGCGCCAGACATACAGGATTTGGCGCGGGAGCAGTCGAGAAGCACACGGCACTCATCAAGGGCACAAGGCGTGTGAGTGTGCCTTCGTACTGTGTTCAACTGGGGCTTGTGTCTTCGCTCGAGGTCTGCCTCAAAAAAGTGCGGGCGGACAGTGCCAAAATCACTGCCACATGGTCTACCGCCTTCGAACACTTGCCGCGTTTCTCCTCCATTCTCGTAGCTTGATTAAGCACTTCGATAAAGAAGGCACGTTTTCAGGCGTGTATGGTTGGAGATCTTGCGTTAATCGCAGAGAGCATCCTGGCACCACGATGAACGGCACTATTTTTTCCCGCCTTTAACTCGTCGTTACTTCTTGCTCACACAGGACATGGCGGGCATGGAAAAGAGAGGCGGGGGGAGAGTGAGGGTGGGCGATCTATGGTACGATGCTCTCCTGGTGGAGCTAAACCAAGTCGACTATTCGGCGTTCGAGAGCTGGCACACGTCCACGCTGGAGCTACAGCTGGCTTCCAGAGAGGTGTGCAAAGCCTGTCGAAGCATTCCAAGACTCGAGGCGCGCGTGACTCAAGAGTCGCCTGATTCAATATAGTCCGGATATCGGCGCGCAGGTCAACGCGTCATGCCAATCGCGTGCCATCCCTTCGACCGCTGTGCTTGGTGTCACTATTATCAACTTTAAGAACTCAAAACGAAAAAAGTCGACCAAGTGAAAAACCCAAAGATTACTTCTAGAACCACTTCTGCCCCAACAGCTGACCGAACCCACGCATGCCGATGTTGGTCGATCCAACGTCATCTCGGTCCATTTCGAAAACCGGTGTTAGGGGATGTAGTCTGCAAGACTCTTCGGGCGATCCGACCTTAAAGTTTATGCAACTCCGGATTCGCCGTGCTTTGTCCTCGACTGTGTCCTCCAGACACCCTGGGCACTTCTTGGAAGTATTGTGTGATCGATAATTCGGGTGGCTCAGTTGTGTGTGATGGGAGTGTAGAGCAGCTCGGCCATGACGGGCCGTAGGGGTAGGTAAAGTCGTGCAGACGTGTTGGAAAACGTGTTGTAAACGTGTTGTATCCGTGTTGTATTCATTGGGGGCGTGCTTGAGCTCGTCATTCCATCACGGCATCAAGTCACGCATAACGCTCAAACACCCAAAACGAATCTCCATGAATGTCCACCAATCTACCACACTCCCACACTTTTTGTTCCTCCGTAGTTCGTCACTGCAAATCCCGCAGATGTATACGCAATATACCACCCCCATGCTATGCTACGAGTATATCGAATAGCCGCCCTGCTCGTATGCATCGTCATGCTCCGGCAAAATATCAAAGTCATCCTTTTCATACCAGTTCATCCCAAAACACAATCAAAACCAAGAAAACGAAAATACTCCAGACACGACAAAAGTATCCAAATAGCATACCAACACACGCCTATCACTCTCGCTCTCTTCTGAAAATTCTCAACTCAAACCCTTTTCATCCAGAAAAATATGACGAACGCCGTTCAAAGGCGCCTTTCCTTTCACCGCCAATTCGTCACAAGATCTCGGTGCGTCTCTAAATCCGCCTAGCTAGATATCCCACCATTACCAAGATGCATGCAATCTTAAGACAAATTATTCCAGTCATCCACCAAACCTTCGTCCGCAGGTAAAACGCGAAGAAGTACTATCTCCCTGAAATACTCAAAATATATCCTGAAAAAATACTCAAAATATATCAATGTTCGGTGAAGAAATGTCAGCAACGCCATTTCGTTTGAAAGAATGTAACGTGCCCCCCTGCTCCGAGGATCCGCCCCCCTGCTTTGTGAAGGGGTCGGAGTCAAGCCGAAAAACAATACGAGAGGTGCCGAAAATCATAACAGTACTTCTGATCCTCTCATCCACACTTCAATCAGATCTGAAAAACCAAACCCAAGCTCAAATCAAACAAAACAAACGCCAAATCTCAAACTAACTCAAATTCAAGATGAACCTCAATGCGCCTACTTTTCCAGCCATAATCCCCAGCGCATTGGACCACTGCCCCTGCCATTGTTTCTCCCCCGTGGATTTTCGCTCGCCTCCGCCGCGGTCGCCTTCTGTGCTCTTCGTCCGGCTGGCCGCGGCTGGAGCATCGTCAGCAAATCGTCCGCCTTCGTTGGGGGAGACCACAATTGTCGCTCCAGAAGGATTGACTCGGCAGCGGTGGAGGGCAGGTCGCGCGTTCGGAAGGGAAGATGGTGGCACAATCAGTTCCTTATAAAACAGCACTCCTGAGGAGAATCACAT